AGATTTTTTTGGATTTGATTTTAGGACTAGTTAGTAAAGTGTTAATTTGAAGTTAGAAATTAGTAATTGAAGTGTTATGAGTAGAAGATGAATGTTTGAATGTCATGAACTTAATTAGAATTTGAAGTTGAACTTAGAATTTGAACTTGAACTTGAACTTAGAATTTGAAGTTAAACTTAGAACTTGAACTTGAAATTAAAACTTGAACTTAGAACTTGAACTTAGAATTTGAAGTTAAACTTAGAATTTGAACTTAGAACTTGAACTTGAACTTAGAAGTTGATCTTGAACTTAGAACTTAGAACTTGAACTTGAAATTAGAACTTGAACATGAATTTAGAACTTGAACTTGAACTTAGAACTTAGAACTTAGAACTTGAACTTGAACTTAGAACTTGAACTTGAACTTGAACTTGAACTTGAACTTGAACTTAGAATTTGAAGTTAAACTTAGAATTTGAACTTAGAACTTAGAATTTGAACTGGAACTTAGAACTTGAACTTGAACTTGAACTTGAACTTGAACTTAGAATTTTGAAGTTAAACTTAGAACTTGAACTTGAACTTGAACTTAGAACTTGATCTTGAACTTGAACTTAGAACTTAGAACTTGAACTTGAACTTAGAACTTGAACTTGAAATTAGAACTTGAACATGAATTTAGAACTTGAACTTGAACTTGAACTTGAAACTTGAACTTGAACTTGAACTTGAACTTAGAATTTGAAGTTAAACTTAGAATTTGAACTTAGAAACTTAGAACTTGAACTGGAACTTAGAACTTGAACTTGAACTTGGAACTAGAATGTGAAGTAAACTTAGAATTTGAACTTAGAACTTGAACTTGAACTTGAACTTAGAACTTGATCTTGAACTTGAATGAACTTAGAACTTGAACTTGAACTTAGAACTTGAACTTGATTAGAACTTGAACATGAATTAGAACTTGAACTTGAACTTGACTTGAACTTAGAACTTGAACATGAATTTAGAACTTGAACTTGAACTTGAACTTAGAACTTAGAACTTAGAACTTGAACTTGAACTTGAACTTAGAACTTAGAACTTGAACTTAACTTAGAACTTGAACTTGAAATTAGAACTTGAACAGAATTAAACTTGAATTGAACTTGAACTTAGAACTTAGAACTTGAACTTGAAATAGAACTTGAACATGAATTTAGAACTTGAACTTGAATGAACTTGAACTTAGAACTTAGAACTTGAACTGAACTTGAACTTAGAACTTGAACATGAATTGAACTGAACTTGGAACATTTGAAACTTTGAACTTTGAACTTTGAACTTAGAACTTAGAACTTGAACTTGAACTTGAACTTGAACTTGAACTTAGAACTTGAACTTGAACTTAGAATTTGAAGTTAAACTTAGAATTGAACTTAGAACTTGAACTTAGAACTTAGAACTTGAACTTGAACTTAGAACTTGAACTGAATTAGAACTTGAACTTGAACTTGAACTTAGAACTTGAACATGAATTTAGAACTTGAACTTGAACTTGAACTTGAACTTAGAACTTGAACTTGAACTTGAACTTGAACTTAGAACTTAGAACTTGAACTTGAACTTAGAACTTGAACTTGAAATTAGAACTTGAACATAAACTTAGAACTTGAACTTGAACTTGAACTTAGAACTTAGAACTTGAACTTGAACTTGAACTTGAACTTAGAACTTGAACATGAATTAGAACTTGAACTTGAACTTGAACTTGAACTTAGACTTGAACTTGAAAT